GGTGTTTTTAGGAGTCTAGCTTGCAGACGCCAGAGCACTGATTCGTCAAACCTGCTTTTCTGCAGTCTGTGTTCTTCTGACGTCTGACTTTATTTTGTAGTAAGTAACGAATATGCTTCGGGGAAATGTATTGGAGTAAAAGTATACATTTTAATTAGGAAATGTAGTGGAGTAAAAGTAAAAGTTGGCTGAAATATAAAAACTCAAGTAAAGTACAGATACTCCCCAAAAATACTTAAGTACTGTAACGAAGTATTATTACTTTGTTACATTACACCAATGGGTGTTGGTCAAGTGTATTTCTGCAGATATATCATTCTGCATTTCAAATCATGCATAGAAGTGCTTGCATGCATCTGGAAGGGTTGTGTCATCATCACAGGCCTGTGACTAGAGCTGTTTCTCCAGTATGACTTTCTATGACCAGAAAGGGACATGTTTGTTTCATTTAGTTTTGTTATGGCCACAACATATTAACTCATGGAAATGTGATATGTTGTGGCCACAAGATTATTTTGTAAGAGTAACAACATCCTTACATTGCAACTACAAAATCTGGAGTTGTGGCCTTGAGAACTTATGTTGAAAGATCAACATCCTTTTCTCATGGCCACAAGTTTAATGTGCAAAAAACCTGTGTGACCATAGTAATATTATTATATTGTATTATATTATAGTCACACGTAAAGGGCCTCATTTATCAATCTAACGTAGAAACTAGCGCAGATCCGTGTGCACAAATCAACTTACGACAGAGTTCACGTGTGAATCATGAAACATTCGTATGCCGCCAATCTCATCGTACGAATGATCGCATGTTGATAAATGTGGCGGCAGAAAACAATTGTCATTTGAATATCACGCCCCTAAAAACACCCCGCTTTAGAAGCCTAGCCCCTATAGTTTACAACACGAAGAAACGAAATCCGGCCAAAAAGAGGAAGTAATCTCATGAAAGAGAAATTGATCTTACTCCAAAAACACCCGTTAACCAAACAATTAGGCTACATTCATTTATGTAATTTATATGTATATTAAAATACTGGTAAATATAAACAGCCTATTTAGTTCCCCTCACTCTACAACAAATATTTTAAATGTAACGGTATTCAGAACAAAACAAGAATTAAAAATATGTAGTTATAAAATTATATATTAAACTATAAAATAAAACACAAATTAGGCTAT